GGCTGGTGTACGACACGGCCAACCTGTACCTCCAACGTATCGGCCGGACGGTGTACCGCCACGAGATGGGCAGGGAAGCGGAGGCGCCGACCGTCGCCTCCTCCGCCGGAGGTTCCCTGCAGCGGGCGGCGCACCGATTTCTCGTCGCCGCGTTCACGACCGTCGTACGCTACGTGTTCCGCAGTTCGCGGGCCGATGGACAGGTAGCGGTTGCACCTTTGCACGCGGTGAGTAGTATAATCTATTACGCAACGGCGGTTTTCCGACGGGTATGGCGGTCGGCCAGTCGGGGGGGGGGGCGAAATATGTATTTGACGTTGAATTCGTGCGGGTGTGGCGGGTAACGGGTTGGGTCACACGCGTGACATAACGATGCGTGTTTTACCGCGCGAGTAAAAAACAAAAAGAATCGTTACAAAAAATAGGTAGGTATATAGAATTCATATTGTCTGTATAGATTGCAAAAAACAAAAAAAAAATGGATACGATCGTGATACTGAACGATTACTATTTATTTATAGTCTTATAAAATGTATTTTTACGATATTAATTTACTTATCTGTATCAGTATTATATGTAATACCTATATTATAATTTAATATTTTAAATTGTGAGCGTAGCGATTATTGTATTGATTTTACAATGATATTTGTCTGTTTATGATGTCAGCAGTTATTGCCCTTTATCGGGCAATAAAATTTAAAAAAAAAATTTCTTTCGACTTTCAATTCTTTCTGGTATACAATTGAATTTAGTTAGAAATTCATAAAAACAATTATTTTTGGTGGGTATATCTAAAATATGAAACATAATTCAAAGTTCCTCATTAGTTTTTCTATCTATAATAAAAGTGGGTAGTTCGCGAGAAAGTCATATCAATTTTTTATGACCACTTGAAGTTTAAATTTTTACGACATTGCATATTCACCCGTAAAATAACTTTTTTTCCTCAGTTAGTGTTTTCTGCACATCGTATAATTTTGATTCTTTTTAGCTATTTATAGATTTGACATTTGAAATTTTTTCTAAAAAATGTTGATACAAAAATACTCATGTGGTCGACATTTTTGAAAATGTATTACAAGATTTAAACATAAGTTCTTATATCTGTAAAAAAATATTAAAAATA